AAAAACCAGACACAAAAACAAAAAAAATAAAGATTTTAAAAAAGTTAATTTTTGTTTTATTTATTTCAGTTAATATTTCTTATTTTATTTTATTTTATTTTCATACAATTTTTACTTAAATATCTAAGCTATTGCGACATTAATTAAAAACTCATCTTCATCTTTCAGTAATTTTAAATACTGAATTTCTAAGTCATCATCTTCTACATTGTCAAAGACGTAGTCGTCGTCCAGAAAAACTATTTCTTCCGGGTCATCTTTATCAAACCTTTGAGCATATTGAAAGTTCTCATTCAAAGACATCCATTGTTTCATCTCCAAATGGGAAATCTTCCCATTTTAGCGATTCCAACTCTTTTGAAATCGTTTGAGTTGATGTTGAAGAGCGGGCGAATACTTCCCTCAGATTCCTGTCCACGGTGTCTTCTTCAACTAGACCCATTACAACGTCTCGCTCCGTCTGGCTTCCACATCGAAGTCTCGGTAACCGATTTAGACATCCATCAACATTTCCAGAGCTTGAACCAAATCGATGAATTCCACGGATATTACACTCATGGTGATATGTACGATTTGTTACTGAGGCTGAACAATTTGACTATTCTCACTTTTATACTTAAAGGGCTTACAGATTTTTTATACTCCTACGTCCCCCTTTACTATTTTATTATGATGCGTCCATGGACTCATATCGTTTCAAATTAAGTCTGTGTCACTTTGTGTTGAAGTACAGAAATTTTAAAAACTGCAATTTTAATAAACAACTTGTTACTTTTCTTAAGACGTCCCCAATCCTTTTAAGACATTCCCACGACCAGGTATAAACAAAAAGGTATAATTCATGGATTCATGATTTCTGTGCCAAAACAAAGCTCTACCCCATTCAGCGCGTCGCAACGGGTGCCGTTATATGCTCCTTAAAGATGTTTACAAATCAGTTGCATGAGTGTGAAGTGTGGGGTCGAGGGGGTGGGGTGTTTGTGGCCACAAGCTATGAAATTTTTATAAACAATTAGAACCATTGTTATGATTTCTTGAACTTGAAACATTCCTTTAGATGGTCCTTTAGGCGGTCAGGAATAAACAAAAAGTATAATTCGTGATTTCTGTGTCAGAATACAAACTAATTAGAAGGAACTGTCGGTTGTGAGGGGAAACCCTAATTACAGAGAGCCAGACAGATAATGGGTTTTGTGGTGAAGGGAAACTTAATTAAATCAATAACGTGCCAGTTAATAGCCCGTAAATCTGGCCAAATCCACATTTTCTATCTACTGATGGTCCTTAATGTTGGGTATCGAAGGATAGGAAGGAAAGGAGACTGCAGTGGTGGTGGTGGTGGTGGAAGGTGTTGGCTAAGGTGGTTATGTCTTTGGCTTTTGCGGCTTTTGAGCTTTTTGTAGACTAGCAGCCCCTGTAGTTGGCAGTATGGTTTTCACAGTTGCCTCACTTTTTTAGTGCAGAATCTTCTTTGTTTTCTGGGTATTCTTTTGTGCTGTGAAGATCACCACAGGTAACACAATGGCAATTCACGCATTGGACAGGACCATTTCTTTTATGAGGCTCCTCCACGGTAATTTTACGATGGAGAAGGTATTCAAACTTCTAAATGGGGTGAACTAAGAACTTCTTGGTGCAATACAGATCTTAAAACGTGGATTTGAGATTTTTGCCTTGTAACCATCTTTGTGACAAGTTTGACTTCCTTCAGACCTTCCGCAATGTAGTTTTATAACTACATGAAGCCCCCTGCTGCTTTGATTAAAAGGACAAACTATCTAGGAATTTCGTAACAAAACGAAAATTTTCTTCATTGTTGTTTTGCAGTTTTCTTTCTTGGACGTTTCCTTTTTTAAGTATTGAAAGTGGTTGTGTCTAATCTCTTTCTTGAGATCAGTGGTTGCTATTGTAATTGCAGGTAGTTACCGATGGCACCGTAGAAGAGATTGCCCAAGCTGACGTCAGTGCGTCGATTGGTGAGAGGGGGACGGGCAATGAGCTTCTAGATTAAGTTACGGCAGCGGTACTTGGATCATCGGGCACAGTCAAACCTATTGCACTTCTTTTTGGCTCCGGTGAAACATACCAAAAGTTCGCGTAGTTTCGAGTAATAGAGAGGCGGCGCTCGTTTTATTACTGTTGTTGTCTTTCGCGACTTTGACTCGTCGGTTCACCGGGAGCTCCCATTATTTCCTTAGTTGCCGGCATGAGTTTACATTTCGTTTTGTTTTATTTAATTTGGATGAGATCTGAGGTACTATAAGACTGTTGAGATTAAGCAAGCAGATTTTTGAGGTCCCTGGGAAAGTTTATTGCAACATCCTGCCACGCCCTCTAAATCAGAAAAAAATAAAATCGCCGAGATCTCTGGAAATATAGAGCTAGAAAGTAGGGATTAAGGTTGTATTTTTCTTGAGATTATCCGGCCACGCCCACCAAACTCTCGGTAACTATAACTGAGAGATATAACTAGCCACGCTCACTCTAACGCCCACAAATCACGAAAAACTTAAAATGCGAAAATATAGGAACATATAAGAGCTGAAAAGTTAAGCCTAGGGCTACGTATTTTAGAAATGCCATTGCAGCTCGCCAAATTTTTCAGCCGGCCACGCCCACTTTGGCACCCTCAAACCGCAGAAAACTGTGGCGCCTACAATAATATAGTGTATGCCTTCGTTTGACCTTGTATAATCTTTTTGTAAATATCTATCGATTTACTAAAGATTTTTTAAATTTGAACCATATTTCGCTGTTTATTTAGAAAGTAAGGCTATTTCTCTGACAATAGGTGGCGCTGAATCTCCTTTAGCAAAATGAATAATATTAGGTTGTCAAAAAAGTCTTGAGGTATTTTCGCTAGTTGGCGCTGAAATCGCTTAGTTCTTGTTTTGTTCGTCGCATCAGGTCATACTATACCTTTTTGGAAACCCGATACAGTTTCCATTTCCACCGCACAACGATGGTATCAACGTTTTCGTTCTGCTGTAGAGGTGGTCGAAGATGCGCCACGCTCCGGAAGGCCTGTCGTCGAAAATTGCGATAAAATCGCTGAATTGGTCGAAAGAGACCGGCATAGTAGCAGCTGTAGCATCGGTCAAGAGCTGGACATGAGTCACTAAGAAGCTCGATGTAAGGGTGCCACACGAATTGCTTCTAAATCGCAACAAAATCGACCCGTTTTTGAAGAGTATGGTGACTGGCGATGAAAAGTGGGTCACTTACGATAACGTAAGGCGCAAACGGTCGTGGTCGAATAGCGGTGAAGCAGCCCAGACGGTGGGCAAGCCTGGATTGACGGCCAGGAAGGTTCTTCTGTGTGTTTGGTGGGATTGGCAGGGAATAATCCACTATGAGCTGCTCCCCTATGGCCAAAAGCTCAATTCGGACCTGTACTGCCAACAACCAGACCGCTTGAAGACAGCACTCATGCAGAAGAGGCCATCTTTGATCAACAGAGGCCGAATTGTCTTCCACCAGGACAATTGGTAATGCGTCATCGAACAAAACGGCGCATATTTGACTTGAATCGCATTATTGTAACCAATTTTATGAACAATTGAAAATTTAATAAAAATACCGCAAGACTTTTTTTTACAACCTAATATAAAATTGTTTAAAACAGTAACGGGTATTTTATAGACACGGCATTCGGCTATAGCGTTTCCTGTTTTTTTTGCGGTTTGTGATTACGCTTACTTACACACTGAAACACGTCTGCACGTGCAAAGAATTGTTGTTGTAAATCAGTTAGTAAACATGTTTTTTCTGACAAAAGGTGGCGGCATGTAAGAAATGAATTCTTCAAAATTTTACAAATCAGTAGTTGGTATCTTATTGTCGCGGCACTAGATTATAGTCTTTATTTTTTGTTTTGTTAATAAATTCGTTAAAAATTCGTTAAACGCTGTAAAATACTTCATCCAAGCATGACTTTAAGTCTCCGACGAACACATTAATAGCTCAGTGAAATCGTTTGCAATTTTATGGATGTACACCATTTCTCTCCAATCATAACAGCTAATGAAATTTTTTTACGCCGTCGTACAACAGTTTTGCAGACCGCTTTCTTTCTGAATATCATTGAACCAAAGCTGAAGTATCCTAGTGAAAGTTCAGCATTGGAAACAGCTAAGAGAGCTAAGTAAGAACTTATCATTAATTTCGGTGTATGCCTTTTTATCACAAAACAAGAAGAAAAGCTATAGTCAAATGCAGAAATTAATGCAGCGCCTCCTATTTTATGAAAATCTATTTTTTAAAACTGTTGGTGATGTCTCTGCTCAAGTGATGACTTATAACTTCCAATTCTTTCTAAATCTCAAAAAAATGTTCCTATTAAAGTTTTTGGTTCAATTGGTTGGTATTGACAAAAATGTTTTAGACAAGGTTAAACGAAATCATAAATTTAAATATTATAGACGCCACAGTTTTCCTTGGTTTGTTGGCATTAGAGTGGTGGCTTGCAATTGCATCTATAAAATACTTATGCTAAATCCTATCTTTTAGATTTTAAAGTTCCCGAGATCTTTGAATAATTGGTTAATTGGCGTGGCCAAATATGATAAAAAATGTAACGCTTTGATGACATCATTAAAAGCTACATTCTTAATCCTAACTTTAAAAAACCCGAAAAACATTTTTCGATTTACTACCTTAAGTTGCGCTACCACCTCAAGAACAAACATACCTTGACCCTACTTTCTAGTTCTAATAGCTCATTGTGCGCGTGGCCGGACGCTGCGTAGGAGTCTTAATAATATGGATGCTTAATCTCAAATTTGTATTTTAAAGTTGCTGAGAGCTTAGCGTTCATACGGACAGACAGACAGACGGACATGGCTAAATTAACTCGGTTATTAATAGAGTCGGAAATGCTTCATTATGGCTGTTAAATACTTTTCATCGAATACAATATTTCCTTTAGATCTATTTGTAAGAGATATAAAAAATTCAATTTGTGTTATGTTTATAAATACTTTTTTAATAATTCACTATTAATGTTTTGCAGGAATGAAAAGTTTTATACTTGTTGTGATGAGCCCTACTTGGACATAACATTTAATATTACAATGAGAAGAAAAACGCTTTTTTATACAGTTAATATAATAATACCGTGTATGGGAATTTCTTTCTTAACTGTATTGACTTTTTACCTTCCTTCGGATAGTGGAGAAAAGGTAATACAAATAACTCTTTGCACTGAACTAATAGTAATTAATATATATACTTTTCAGGTTACTCTATCTATTTCCATTCTTATAAGTCTTCACGTGTTCTTTCTTTTGGTGGTTGAAATAATTCCTCCGACATCATTGGTTGTTCCTTTATTAGGGAAATATTTAATATTTGCAATGATTCTTGTGTCTATAAGGTAATATTGAATTTTCTTATTCTTATCTTTGATATGATGTTCTTTAACTTTTTTAAAGTATCTGCGTGACGGTTGTCGTTTTGAACGTTCATTTCCGATCCCCCCAAACTCATAGAATGGCACCATGGGTTAAGCGCGTGTTCATTAACTTCTTGCCCGCCTTTTTATTTATAAAAAGACCTAAATACAATTTTGAAACAAGGTAAGCATTATACAAAATATATAATATAAGCATTTTAAAAGGAAAACATTATAAACATTGTTTTTCAACTGTTTACAGTTCCGCGATTCTTTGCGTTCCCAATAAGTTTGAATTACTTTTCTTTACAATCTCCATTGAAGACGCTTTGCGTTTTGAAAAGGAATAAGTTGATTTTAATTTAATTATTTTTAATAATTCTTTAGGCATCGGTGAAATACGCCTTTGGAGATAAATTCAAGAAGAAAAGAGGAAGATGTAGTCAAATGGTACTCTTGTAAGCAATTTCTATATGGAAATTTGATGCCCCATTGCACTATAGGAAATTTTGTCACTTTTCTGGCCAAAATTAAAATCTCAAGAACAAGGCAAGATATGGTCATATGGCATGTGGGCATATGGTCAATAGATTTCAGATATAAAAAAGGGAGCGTGGCACCGCCCACAACCTCAAGATCATATGCTAACTCAAAAACTAAGCAAGATATTAAGATTCGGTTTTTTTAATTTAAGTTCATATGGTCAATAAATTTCATATGTGAAAAATTTATGGGTGTGGCACCGCCCACAACCTCAAAGTCAGATATTAACTAAAAAACAAAGCAAAATTGCACCCTCTTTTATATAAAACTCAAATTACTTTGCGAATATGTTTGTTCGCTGTTTTAAAACTCAAAAACAATGTTTGTAATAATAATTTGGATTCTTTTCTTAATAATAGAAGGCGCTGCACGCATAATATAAGAAACTATCCAGCATTGGGTCATTTGAGGTTGCGTCCTAAAAACTTAAATATCTCGAAAAGTGCATAAAAGTGCACTTTCTGGTTACATTCATTCAAATAAGAATGAAATACTCTAAAACATAGTCTTTATTTCATTCATGGAATCGGCAGGACTCACTTTTAATGTCAATTAAAAAATTAGACTTAAATCTAAAAATACGTTTCTTAGACTACTCACATTTTTACCCTATTATTAAAAAAACACAAGTTCTTCCAACATTTGACATACAAAAAAACATTATACAAACCACACTGATAAGAACGCAGTGGCGCCTGTTATGCAACACTTAAAATTGATCTAATGTGAATGCAATTCAGTTAAAATTATTTTATTTTTTTCACTTTCAAAAAATAGTTTTTGGCCACAAGAGTAGCAAAATTTCCTATAGTACATTGAGATAGACCCGTTACAATTAGTGTGAACCAAAATTTAAGGATGATAATAAGTCTTAAGAAATCCAGTCTAGTGTCCTAACTACAAATTCAGCGTAACCACATTTGTGAACTGTGCCTAAATCCATTGACTCCCGGTATGGCACTTCCTACCATGCGCGATCGGCTCGTGGACCAGGCTTAAGTTTAAGCAACTTGAGTTCGATTTTACGTGACGTCACTGTCCATGTAAGGCCTTATAACTTATATTTCCTCATAGGTAGCGAACTAAAGTTCCGAATTAAAAAATCTTTCGTAAATCAATAGATATTGACAAAAAAATGTTATTCAAGGTCAAACGAAAACATTCAATATTATGGACGCCACAGTTTTCCGCGGTTTGTGGGCGTTAGAGTGGTTGTGGCAGGATAAATACTCGTGTTCTTAATCCCAATTTTCTTGCTCTTATAGTTTCCGAGCTTTTCTCATTTTTGGTTTTCTAGGATTTGTGGGCGTTAGAAAGGGCGTGGCTGTATGGGAAAAATATTCCGATTACACATGCTTAATTACATGATTAACCCTTTCTTTTTTCACTTATCAGTTTTTCTACAAAATGTGAAAACCGTTTGTTCAAGCATGAACATGAGACGCCCAGCATATATGGCAATCATTACCATCTGGTTGTACTTTAACTAACTGCGGCGCATCTACACTATTGTAAGAATGATATCACATTACTATATTCCGCATGTGTATTTAGGATCGTCTAGAAGAGATAGCCTTTTCTCGCTGTTATTTTACAAGCACGCCGTTAGCACATAAGTACCCGAACAGATGACCTTATCTCCCTGTTATCTTACAAACACAGCGCAAGTACACAAGTAATATAAGATAACGTTATAGCCTTATAAACTCAGCATTAGTTTAGGCTTATAGATGAATAAAAGGAGGGTCGCTCCTCCCAAACGGCGTGGTACAACCAACATCGTCAATGCGTTAGTATCTGAAGTAAACGTTTACCGAGTGAAGCGTTTCTGTGGCTTTAAACAGCGAAATTGAAAAAATTTCTGAAATTTGTTTTACATTTTTTGAATAACCACTACAAGTTGTGAGTCGGGGCACAGCACAGTACCAAGATCGAACCAAAAATACTTTCAAATTAACACGAACAAGATACTATCCGAGAAAACAATGGGATTGCTGAAGAGGCAAGTGGTGCTTCGTCAGGAGATCTTACAGGGAAATTCATTAAGGCACACCCATCAGCTATAGATGATTCGGCAGCAATTCACTGCGAATCACACAATGCTGACCAAAAGTGGCTTCATTAATCAAGAATATTTTAATGACAAAATATACGAGACCCGCATGGCACTCATCAAGATATATAAAGAGTATCTGATGAAGTTTGAATTTGCCGATCACGCCATGGCAAGTACATCAAAAGCAGGAGCCTCAAAAGAAGATGCATCAAATAGAAGCCTGAGCCCTGTAGACAGCTTGGTGGAACTCGTGGACAAAAGAGCCGAGAAAGTGAGGCAACACATGAAAGAAGTGTATGCCGACCTGGAGAGCAGCAACATGGAAAAGATCCTTGATCACAAGGACAAGATGAACTTCCTTTGGTCAAGGGTACAGACCACTTTGTCACAATTAGAGCCAGAATATGAATCATATGCCTTTGACATCGACACGATCGATGAACTAGAACGCAAAGTCAGATTGCTATCTATCTTTCATACAAGAAAATATTCCGGAGCTATAAAGAGTAGATCTTCTTTAATTTAATGGAAACACAAAAAAAAAATGGCCCACATTCTTCGAATTCAAGAAAACTGAATTACCTAACATTATGCTTAAAAAGAGAATCCAAAATGGTAGTCGGACATTTGCTGAATGGATCAGCTGCCGGCATGGGAGCTAATATGCAAGCGCTACGAAAACAAGCGCAAAATATTTGCTAACCGCGTTAACCAAATGTCGGACATGGAACTGCTGAAGAAAAAGGCAGATAAAGGCAATATGCGTATATTCCTGGACACAGCAACAGAGTATATTTATTTAATCAAAGAAAAAGGCCAAATTGCAAAGAAGCTGATGCCATATTCACTCAGATATTGCTGCGCGAATTATTTGAAGAAGCCCTACAACCTTATGAGCAGGAAATCCATGAACTGGATAATGTGCTGGAATTTATTGAGCAATTTTAAAACTCAATAGATTCAGTGCAAAAAAGTTTCATCTATGTAGAAGCAAAGAAATCGATTCCTAAAAGATGCCGTTTTTTCACAAATAGAGGGGAACGAAATTGGCATATGCCAAATATTCAAAGCAGAAACAGTCAAAAAACGCAAAGAATTTGTGTTCAAGAACTCGTTATGCTATAAATGTTTGGGCACCCATAGCTTTAAAGAATGCAAGAAAAGGTCCTATAATAACTTACTCCATGAGAAACCAAATAGGAGTCACTTAGCAGCAATTGCCTCAACCGGCACAAATGGCAAGATACGATGCTAGCAACCGCGCTGATTTTAGTACAAACTAAGGCCGGTAAATATAAGCAATTGAGAGCATTAATTGATGGAGGATCCCAAAAAATATTGAAGTTCAAATCATCTCACAAAGCGTTGAAGGGCTGAAGAATAGCATGCACTTGAAAATCAAGCCAAGGGTTAAAAGCACCTTTCAAGCAACAACACAAGCTTTGGTATTACCAGAGCTACAAAGGGCTCTACCGAGCAGAAAAACTGAAATGAATGTCATCTAGCTGACCCACACTTCAACGAGCCTCGTAGAATGGATATAATAATTGGCGTTGACTTATTCCCACTAATCATGTTGGGCCAAGTCAAAAGAGTCCATGACACAATAGGACAGAAAACCACATTAGGATAGATTGTCTCGGGCAACATAGCTAGAGCATCGGATAAAAAGGCCATCAGCGCAACAACAACAATATGTTTAGATGACCTCGAGCGTTTCTGGGAACTAGAAGAGGAAACCAATGAGTCGGAGCTCAACCCCTATTTGGATGGAGATGTTATTCTAAGGGTAGGTAGGGGAGAATGCAAAGGAACCGTATGACGTGAAACATCCAATTATAATTGTAAAATCACACCTTTCGAGGCTCATAAAAAAAACTTACGTGGTGGATTGACACTGATGAGAATCTACATCAAAAAAAAAGTACCGGATATTTAGATTGCGGAACGCCATAAAGAAGTATGAGTAACCTGTATAAGATAAAAACAGAATATGACCAATCAGCTAATGGGAAATCTACCAGTCTATCGAGTGAGAGGTACGCTGGACCACTCCAAATTCGCTGCATCAAGGGTAGAGGACAAAAGTCGCATAAAGGATATATATGCCTATTTGTTTGTATGGCAACAAAGGCCATACATCTGGAACTCGTAAGTGACTTATCTTCAGAACGATTCTTGGAGGCTCTACACCGGTTCTTCGCCAGACGAGGGAAAAGGAAGCACCTATTTAGCCAACTTTGTAGGCGCAGCCAGAAGCCTAGATACGGAACTCGATACCTCCATGAAAAATAATACCAGTATAGCACCAATACTGGAAAAGGAAGGAGTGCAGTGGCACTTTGTCCCGCCGGCAAGCCCCCATATGGGAGGATTATGGGAAGCTGGAGTAAAATCGGTGAATTACCATTTTAGGAGAGCAATCGGTGCCAACAGCTTCACATTTAAATAGTTTTCAACACTTTTGTGTCAAATTGAGGCATCGCTAAGCTGCTGTCCCATAGTTACCTTGTGTGATGACAATGAAGGAGAGAATATTCTGACGCCGGGTCATTTTCTCGTTGGAAGACCACTTATAGGTCCAC